GCAGGGCAGGGCAGGGCAGGGCAGGGCAGGGCAGGGCAGGGCAGGGCTCGGCTCCTTCCCGCCCCCCCTCCCCTCAGAGCTCGCTCACCGCCCTTACTGCCAGCCACCTCATCACACCCTCACCCTCCCTCCCTTTCCCACAACCTCCGTCCAGAAACTGCTCCCGGAAATACACCGCAGTCCGGGCAGTCCCCAGCACAGCCCCAAGGAGCCCCAGCCGCAGCACGACGCCGACTGCGCTGCTCCGGCGCCGCGCTCCGGGCCCAGCCGCCATCGCTCTCAAACAGCAACGGCTTCGCGCCTCCGGCCGGTCCTCCAAACTTCGCGCCTACGCCCATTCTATTCTAGGCTCTGATTGGCTACGCATTCCCTGTCTTTCATAACTAACGTTCCGATTGGCTTAGAGTCCCCAAGGGAGATGCAAATTGCACGTGCCCGCACCGCGCGGTGCATGCTGGGACTTGTAGGCGATGCTGACCGGCCGGCCGCAGCATGTCTCCTTGGGATTGGTTGGTTACGCCCAAGGGTAGCTGGGGGGGCGGGGCTCTGTGTGCAGCCAATGAGCGGACGGGATGTTGGGGGGTCGCCGTCTCCAGGATACGGCCCGGAGCCTGGCGGATATGCGGCCGCAAGAGCGCCGTCCGTCCTGAGATGGCCGTGCGTAGACAGGTGGGTGGAGAGCAGGTGAGGTGCCGTGCCCCAGCGCCGGTACTTCGGCCACGTGTGCGGAACGGCAGGAGGCCGCGGGCCCGGGCGGCTCTGAAGGTGCGGGCAAGCAGCAGGAGCGCCCTCACTTCGCGTCTTCTCTCGGCAGGGACGCGGCGCTGTTCCGCGCTGGGCAGCCGCCGCCGGCGGGCAATGCGGCCTCCTCCGCTCCTGCGCTGAGCTCCGAGAGGACGGCGCAGAGTTGCAGGGGCCGGGAAGAGTCCCGCCGGGCCGCGGCAGGTTCCTGAAGGCGCGGAGCGGCGAAGCGCCCGGAGCCACGAGCGCTCAGCTCAGCGCTCCTCACGCGAGATCGAATTCAGTTCTGAGGAAAGCGGCGCAGCTGCAAAGCAAAATCCTGAGTCGGAAAAAGCGGTTGGAATTGCAGAGCGCTGAGTTGGGCCGGAAGCCTCTGGGTGAAGATTCCTCATCTGCTTCCAGTCTTGAGCGCCGCGCAAGAGGCAAGAAATACTTGAAGGGCTGCGCTGAAGTTGGTCAGAACGTGGCTGCCAGCGGGGGCTGCTCTGAGGAAGAGGAAAGCGCCCAAAGCCCCACAAGAAATGTTACAGTTACACAACAGCTTGGTTTGGGCGGTGCTGAGAGGGAAATGAGAAAAGTCACGGAGAGCTCTTTGGAGTTTTCCTGTGGAAGGGAGAAGCAAAGGTGTGTTACAGCTGATTCCAGGTGGGGTGGAAAGGTAAATACAAACTTCAGTGCGTTATGTATTTTTGTTTACACGCTGATGGCAGTATTTTCACTTATGATGTTGCTTTCTATTTACTAACACCAGAAACAATTTTTAACGTCTTTGCAGATTGCTCATGATATGCATTGGCATGGTTTCACACTATGAAATGACTGGGATTCACCCATTATGGTCTGTTTTTGTTCTTAGTGATCTACATACAGTAATGAGGAAATGCATAAATCTCTTTTTCGTGTTCTTTGAAAGAGTAAGAATCCAGTTTCACCAGGAGCGCCTCCTCCATCCCAGAAGAAAATTCCACTGACAGAGGTACCCGAAGTACTTTCTCTTCACAGCAAAAACTCAGAGAAAATTGTTTTAAGTGGAAGTAATCTGTTAAGATCTCCACTGGCCAGCAGAAATCGGTCAGCACAACGTAATCTGAGATCTCAATCACCATCTTCTTCTGTGAAAGACAATACTGTAAAAATTACTTTGCCCAGAAGAAGCAATGCCAAGCAAAGTCAATTGTCAGAGAGAAGTGATGGAAGTGAAATAAAATCATTAGATGAGTTATTTTCAAAAGCAGACGACGTGGAAGATTCAACTAGCATAAGCTCAAATGGTAAGCATTTCTAAGCATTATCTTGATAGACTTGGCTCAAATTGTACTCATTATTTACAAACCAGTGTGGGCAAATACTACCTTTGGAAATATTCAGTAGGCTATTTTTACATAAGCTTTGGTTTTAGAAATGACATAGGTGTCTTTGTTACACATTTGTATTTTTCTTGGCTTTTGATTTAATGAATTCAATTAAGGAGCTTCTCTGGATCACAGTTGTGACGTCAAAACAAGTCCAGCATTCAGACTCATGCTGATATATAAGTGGGACAGGACACTGTTGGGTGTGAGTGAAAACAAGCATAAATGCAGGAGGTTGAGAGCCTGTTGAGCTGTAGGCAGGTCTGCCTGCAGACAGGAGGAATCTTCAGAAGTACAATTCCTTCTTAATATTATGCTTTTTCTTTATGTCCTTCATAGGAAGCATTCTGTGACTTTCCTGTGAGTTCTCATTACAGTTTGTCATTCAATTGCAGACTTCAGGCAGAATATCCTGAGCCTTGATGATTTGGCACCAAATATCAGCGGGATGGCAGAACTAAAGCAGCAAGTAAGTAGAAATTTCACACATCTTCCCATTCTGCCTTCATTTGATGAAGGGTGGAGGTTCTAAAATAAACACATCTGTTCTGCTGGAAAACTCTCTGAGTTGGGCATGGCTCACTAGTTGCAAAGATTAAGAATAATGGAGCCATATTTATGTTATATATTGCTGATTCTCTTAACATACAGTTCTTTTATTTTACAGGGGACAGACACTCAAATTAGTCAAGAAACAAATAGAAATCCAAAAAAGGACACATTCCTAGGGGAAAAGGATCCAGCTTTTTCTAAAACAAGTGCAGAAATTGGTGCAACTGATGCTTCTGAAAGGGATACTGAAAACGAGACTGAAGCTGAAATCCCTGAGCACTTAGAAGAAGTTTCTGCAGGTTTTTCTAGACACAGACAGGATTATCCTGATCATGATGACAGAACTGTTAATTCAGAATATTCTGAAGACTTTGAACCATCTCCACCTACAACAGACAGGGAAACTGTAACAAAAATGTCAGAGGAACATTCTGAGAGTTACACATATTCTGCAAAAGACCCATCTTCTTCAGCATCGTCCCCTTTACTTACCAGAGAGAGGCACAAACAGGCACACAGAGTAGCTGTAAAGGAAACTGCAGCTCAGACAGTGGATTTTCCGTTCACCTATTGCTGGCCAAGGAGTAAGTTCATGTTTACATCAAGATGCCATGCTCTTCAATCTTGAGATTTGTTCATATTTTACATGCTGACCTGATCAGTTTCCCCTGGCTGACATGCCACTAAAAGCATTTTAACCACAGCACTTTGATAGCTGTAAGCAAGCTGTGACCTTCGTTTCTGAGGGGTAGCTTGTTTCCTACTCCTCTTTGAAGGGAAAAACTAAGAAAGATGCTTTTTGCCATAGACAGGAGAAAATGGGACCTCACTGAAAACAGTGGCTTCCTTCAAGTATGAGAACCTTTAGTTCTGCTGTGTCCAAGGCTAGAAAATACAGCTTCCACAATGGCAGTGGGTGAACGTGAAATAAGTAAAGGGAGGAGGGCACAGACTTACTTCAGCATTATTTTGGCTGATTGAATTCCCTGTTGGGTTTAGAGCTGTTCTAAGGAAGCCAATGCCCTAAAGCTGAAACTGAATTCTAGTATTGAGTTGTCACCTCCAACCCCAGTAATTCTTGTTGTCTGCCCAGCAAACAGCTCTGCACTGCTTGGTCTGCCTGTTGGAAACAGCTACGTGGATCCAGTGCCTATTGCCAGTCATGTCATCAGCATGGATGCAGTGGAAGGTACTGAAAGACTTCTCTGAATGCTGTTTGACTGTTTGATGCATGGAGTCGCTGCCTGACTCGCTATTAGCGCTTGCCACGACTGCGATGTTACTGAAATACACACTTTGCTCTTTGCAGCCTTGACAGCATACAGTCCCTCAGTTCTTGTTTTAAATGCCATGTTAAAGCAGCACTTGATGTTGACCCAGCAATTTGTGGAGAACATTCAGCACCTTCACTTGTCCCTTGTGGAGTCTTTAGAGAAGGAGAAATTCCACTATCATACGCTGGAAGAGGCTAAAGAGGTATTTATGATAGAGGTATTACATGCTATGAGGTATTTCTCTACACAAATAAACTGTGTGTTAACTTTCTGCAGTACATCAAGAGTCACAAATCCCCACCTTTAACAATTGAACAAGCATTTGAAGAAATCCAGGAAGCGGAAGAGATGCTGCCACCATCATGAATGTTGAAACGTTCCTTTACAGATCTCAAGTCAGAACATGAAACCCTGTCAGACTGCACAGATTAAAAAGTTGCAAACCATGTACCAACTGCTCTGTTTCTTGTAATGCATCCTTTGTTTTCCTGCTTGTTTGTATTTTTTTACTACTGTTCATGGTGCAGGGTTTGATGAGAGCTATGAGTCAGCACGGTTAGCAAAGAAGAAAACCAAAATAGCTCTTATCTGAAAGGATTGGGGTAAATTCTGTGTGTTTATCACATAGATCAGCTGCTCTTTTATCATAATAAAAGTGGAAGTCTATACCAGAGCATCAAGGACTATGATGACAGCAGAAAAATACCATCCTGCTGTTAGAGCTTCATTGAAACATCTTATCAGATTACTACAAAACCAAACATAGGCATAGTTACAGTAAACTCAGTGCAAGGGAAACTTACAGCCTAATACTGAAACCCATTTACTGTGAAATACAAAGCACCATGTTGTTTTTTATTAAAAAAGGTGTTTATTGGAAGGCAAAACAATAAAATTCACAAGTTGGTAACATACAGGTGTTGTATGCTGATTCACAGACAGTTACAGTTTCACAACTACAGTAGATCTAGAACAAACTGATAGTTCACCATATTAACTGCATGGTTTTAAGAGGGTTTCTGCTATACAAACAAGTTACTCTGGGAGGTGGTTACCACCACGCAGACCTGGGGAGTGGAAGTGCAGTGTCAGGGCCCAACGCCTTCAGCTGGTGTCTCTGGGAACGGTTACAAAACTTTATTCTCGTTCACGTTAAAGGAAGTTTCCAAGAACATTTCACTGTTAGAAACTTGCAGAACAGAGAAAGTTGATTCTCTTCTATTGAACTAATTAGCTTTTATTAAAGGGTATATACAAAAATATAAAAAGCTTAAAGAATGTCTTCCGTTACAAAGCATTGAACATCCCTCAGAGCGCTTGAAAAGCTAGAACGTTTAACCCTCGTGTTCTGAACA